TCTTCTTCAGTTGTGCCGTGCATCTGACAAACCAAAACAGAAAATGCTTTCATCCCAGAAATCTTGCATACTAATTGGGGCGGAGATAGGCTGCACAGGAATTACTTGCTTTTTTTTTTCAGTGGTGCCATGGGCTAAGTATACTCGCAATAAAATGTTTTTAAAATAGGATTTACTATGACTTCCACGGATCTTGGGGAAAGAAGGAAGGTAAAAGGGGGATTGAAATAATAAGGTCATTGCAATTTTTTTTTTTTTAAATAAAATTGGATTCCAATGTCAGGCACCAGAGCCCCATCCAGACAGGTTTAACTGGCAGCCTTCCAAAAGCGAGATGAAAGGTCCTCTGAGTAGTAATTGTCTAAGTGGAACAGACTCCGGTTATTGTGCAACTTCTTCATCTACTTTATTGTACCTTTATAATTAAATGATGTAATTCCTTTTTTTCCTTTCTTGTTTTCCTCTCCACTAGTGCAGGAAAGCATCTGAGCAAAGTTGCTATAGGATGCAGACAGACTCCGTGGCTTCCCAGTTTTTTTCAGGGTCACTACAAGTCATATACAAGGAGGTGTGAGCTGCTGGTTGCCAAAGCAGGACATAAACTCTGCCTTCTCCCAGCCACGAATGGACACTTACCTTCATTTCAACTCTCTGCTTGCTTAGTGGTGGAGGTGGTTGGTTCACTGGGATTTTTTGGTAGGGTGAGGGAATGCCACTTTTGCTAGAAACTCAGTGGTAAACAGGCAAACAGTGGATCTAATAGGATAGAGAGAACACTATATTCAAAGAGGCAATAAGCAGCAGGGTTATTTAATTCATGGAGGAGAGCGGACAGACACCTGAGAATCGGAAGAAGATTAGTGTTATGCTGAACAAACCCAGAGCCAGCGTTTCCTGACTTTGCAAGGCTTTAGGGATCAGGAGTGAAACTCTGGTCCCGAGAAGCTAAAAGACTTGATCAGATGCAAAAGCAGAATCAGACGACCAGCTTTGTAAGCTCTTTCTTTTTGACTGGTCCTTCTGTACAAGAGTGCTTCCCCTCAGCCCAAGTAGCCCATTCACAGGAATGAAGATTATTCAGGTGAATAAAAGTTAGCAAAACTGGGCCCTGGGTTTGCATGTTCAACTCCAATAATTTCTTTATTGACTGTAATTTCTGTTGTTTCTGGTTTGATTGGTTTTTTTAATTCATGATAACAAAGAGAACAAATTAACTGCCTGATTTTGACGCAGCTTTAGAATATTCTTCAGGCCTTTGGTCTCATGCCTGTCTGCCTCTCCCTGAGTACGCTTACTCGTGACAATCTGTTTTAATTCATTGCCTATTTATCTAATTGTATTATTTTGAAATATGCACCTGGGTTCTATGGAAATATAAAAAAACGGATAGGAGAAATATAAATAGGACCAATTATTTATATATGCATTAGTGTCTATTATATCTATCCATAAGAAATGTGAAGTACCAGATCTCCACTTTTTCTAGCAAAATCCAACATAAAGTTTTTGACTTATTTGCCAGAAAGTAAAACTAATAAATACAGAATAGAATTGCAGAGGTGACCCAGCCTGTTCAGAAAGAGAACTGTTTTTTAAAACCACTGGCATCAGAATACCGCCAAGTACCATAGGGCCTGATCCTGCCACAAGCCATTGCCTACAGCTTGTATTAATTTCAGCAGAGTTCATAAGCAGAATAACTGCAGGGTATTTGCAAAGCTAGTGAGGCTCTTAATGACCATTTTTTGTTACCCTTTGATAGACAAACCTACCATTCCCAATACTGGAAGTTTTGCCTAGGGAAAAATGTAGGATGTATCTAAAAATAAATGGACCACTTAGATCCTGTCCAGCTTAAAAAGAAAAAAAAAAAAAAACAAACCCCCAAAAACACAGTAATCCTTAATAGCATTTACATTCAATTACATATAGCATTACACACAATATTTGGGGCCAGAACCTGCATTAGTTTATCCAGTTCCGGAAGAGGTGTGCTAGATTAAATTAACAGCTGGCAGAGGAAGGAGAGTAAAAGGCCTATGTACCAATAACATCCTCTTTTATATGGTATTTGCCCTGGAGCTCATACAGAGAGAGATTTCATCTGTGCAGGAGTATGTACCCCAGTCAGGGTATTTGATTACTACAGGTAGAGAACATCTGCAGCCCTTCGCACCTGCACAGGGCATGCTCTGCCCAGGCACCCACCTCTGCAACCTCTAACTCCAGATGAATGTCTGCCATGGAAGAAAACCTAGAAAAGCAGGTGGTGTTGTTGGAATGAACTCATAGCTGTTCTCAACATCAGACAGCGACAGCAAATGTACTTATTCCACTTGCATCATACAGCTGAGGATCGTAAAGAAACAGGCTAGTAGCTGGCCTTCGGTGGGAACAGGGACACTAGTTGACTACCCATGTAAAGCTGGCTCCTTCTAATTCTGTGGTTCCAGCATACAAGGATTTTTAACACTTTTTAATATTTTACACTACTTTTTGGTAAGGGGAGAGTAAAATCCATTAGTTCTTTTTGATCTCACAAAATGTAAAGTTGACAAGCAATCCTACAATATCTCCAGTTTTATTTCTGAGCAAGTCAAACATTTTGTTTTGTCAAATTGCCATTATACTTGCTTTTCTGTGTTTTACTCTGTAGGTGCCAAAGCAACACACCTCTATAGCATTAGCGCTAACATGCGTGACTCTTCATCATGGCTGAGAGTTACAGTATAGGCAGATCCTCACTCCAAAAATGTACTCTAATGTTGGTATTCAGTGTTACGAGTCTCCTGCCTTTACCATTTCTCTCACCGTACAATGAAGTTTGTTAAATGTGTATCAAAAACCTTTAAAGAAGGCAAGGACTCACACACCCCGATACTTGCACATACCTCCTTTATGTGCACAATTTACACTTCTGACATTGGAGCAGCAACTCTGCGAAGTGGCTATCTGGCCATCTGCACACACATATGTCCAGGAATATGTGTGCAGGAACGCACGCTGTACGTGAGCCCGGGAATCCCTTGCTACCAGCTGAACGCTGTATATTTAGAGTTAGTTCACTACACACACACACACACACACACACACTCATTCACACAGTCATACACACACATGAATACACACAAATTACAGCAGGGTCTTTCAAAGACTATCTTCTCTGGCATTTAACCACCTCAGCTTGAGTTGCCACATTTGCTTTATGGCTAACACTTAGCAGAGCTGCCCTTACACATAAGCCAGTGCCAGGCAATTTCAGCAGTTTCTGGCAGGAGAAACGGACGTTCCTGAGGACAAGACAGGCGGTGAAAGAGGAACGAGTCTCACTTATTTCGAGATATAAAACCTCTCTAATAACTGAAACTCCATTTGCCAAAGGCGAGCTCTTATGACATGTTCACCCACTGTCAAGGTTGAATTTCTTTCTTTATGCCCCTAGCACAGTGAGCACACATGGCAGAGCGATCCAGCCTTCCGCAGCCAGCCCAAGCTGTCTGCGCCCTCACCTAGACGGAGAAGAGGAATCCCTCCCTCAGCACTGAAACCAGCAGCAGGGTGCCAGGGTGCTGACAGGCTTTGGATGTGTCCACTCGTCCTAAGTGACTGAAACCACCAATTCATTTCATAGGGGCCGTTAAATAGCAACTAGACATTAAGGATCACTAGCAACACAGACAGCATCCTGACTAGTGATCTAGGTTCCTTGCTACACCACCTGTTTGTACTGTTTCAATGCAAGTCTATACCATGCTACGCAACTCTACTGCTCACTTTTAAAACATACAGAACAAAATGTATACATTGGCAAACACATGTGAGAGTATATCCCTCGTGAATAATGAGCTTTAAGCAATAATTCGGCTTGCAGCATCTGAAGAGGGAATTAACGCAGGCTATCAAGGGAGCTTGGGACAGAGAACGCGCTTAGAAAACAAGTATTTTTAACGATTGCACAGTGTAAGAAGCAATGATTTCACTGCGATGGAAATAAACCCCTGGGGAATCATCTGAATGCAACAGAAGAACCATGGGAGGGAAATGTTATTTTGTTGCATGGAGTAACCATGAGGTGGGCAGCAAAGATGCTGTCATCCTTTACTGAAACCCTCATCATCCTGCAAAAACATACATCTTTTGTAGACAGGATGTTTAGGCTGGGTTTTATGCGTATCTTCCCTTCCTATACTTAGGATCAAGAAACATTTGAGGCAAACTGACCATCACCTTGAACTGGTACCTTGGGGGAAAAAAGAAGAAGGAGGACAAAGAGACAAGAAAAAACATAGCACAAAAATGCTACCGGCAAACAGATGCATCTCCACCCCAAGAGAAAATGATTCCTTTCTAACACTCCTAATAAATCCATGTAATGTTTTGTAGACATTGAAAATATTCCAAAACATAGCTCAGTGTAAATAGCAAGCTGGGTTTCCTCCTGCTCTTTAGCATTTCTCTTTGTTTACTCTCCATTTGAGGATAGAAAAAGCCTACATGTGAGCACTGCAAATGGTGTATTTCGGGACTGATGGGGCATTTGGTAAGGGAATGATGAAATACAGACGTATGTAGTCTCCAATAATATACGTACTTTGCCTGAGTCACCAGGGTCAAACAAAATTTGAAAAAAAAAATCCAATGTCTGCTTTATTAATACTTTTTATTTGTATGTGGAAAATAATCTGATACCATGGTGACGGGCAGACTGTATTAAGCTTAGAGAGACAGAGACATGAGAGAGACATTCTGGGGTGTGTCTGCTCTCACCCCACCTGCCTTCTTGCTCCCAAACCCCATGCCTCAGCAGCAGAGAGACCCCGTGGGAAACTGCCCTGGCAGTGCTTCGGGAAGCGATGCCCAGCCAGGCCAGTTCACCCATCGCAAGGACAGGTACTCAGCTAGAGATGCCAGCTCCCACCTGTGAGCCCAAATGGCTCTGCTCAGCCTCTGCTCAGCTCAGGAGGGCCTGGCACGCTCGTTTGTTAAAAAACAGCCCTTACCTTTGGCAATCAGCTCCTCCAGCTCTTGGTCGAATCCTTGTCGGTGGCATTTCCTCCAGAGCCCCATGTTGGTCGAGTTGTACTGTCTGTTGCACTCGTCGACTGCGCTCATAGCAAAGATCTGCCTCCTGTTTCTTGCCAAGAGGAGTTTCCCTTCCCAGCGGTCCAACCTAGACCTGCTGGCCCTGAGAGGCAGGTTGTTGTTGGAGTTATAAATGAAGCCAGGATCATTTCTCTTAGTGGTGATGCTCTTGCACCTCTCTCTGTGCTTCCTGGCATCAGTTTCGTACCAATGGTCAGAGCAGATTGCCACAGCCAGCATGCCCAGGGCACACAGAGCTAAAGAGAGGCCAGCATACAGCAGTAACCTTCCAGCAGCCATACCTCAGCTTCACAGAAACACCATGGACATCTTCACAACAGGCAAAGCCCTTGAGCGTGAGACCACACAAAAACCTCCGGAGCAGCTGTTAGGTGTCACTTGGCAGAGACTGCCTCAGACATCCCCAACTCCTGTGGCTCACATCCACGCTGCGGAGGGATGCCGAGAGCGCTACAAAGTTCTGCCCTGGAGGCAGTCCTGGAGTCTCATCTGCCTCTTCTCCTCTGCGGAGGAGACCTAGCGAGGAGAAACACAGCCTTCCACCTCGAACGGGAACAAGCCAGCGAAACACCTGTACAAAGATGTCCTGCTCCCCTCACCACAAGCACCCGAGCGACGGGGGCTGAAGGGATATAACCCCCCCGAAGAGACCTGGAAGCTATGGCTGTTTGATCAGTCCATTAATCTCTTTCAATCTGGCCAGCTCGGAGATCCAGAAGAGATGGCTCTCAGATCAGCAGGCTCGCCACAGCATCATCGCAGGACAGAAAAGTTCAGCAGCTCGCGATCTCCCGCTCGCAAGCAGCCGGGTAGCCCGCTTTCAGGAATGGGTGACTTGCCTTTTCTTTGTCACTGGCTCAGCGAGAGCATCATCGTCTGGACGGTCGGTCGCTTGCTTGGGTTTAAAGCGGGGTCGAAGGGGAGGGAGCAAGGGGGGGGGAGCAATCTGTGTTTGCCGCTGCCGCTGCCGCTGCTCTAAATCGTGGCTAAACCACAACCTCCCCGGCTGGAACTGGAAAGGCGGGCACGCACAGGTCTCTCCCTTGGCAGACTTCGCCGACAGTCACCGACACCGCGGCTCCAGGAACACCTCGGCTTCTCTCTGCCAGCCTTGCCATTCACTCGCCCGCTTTTCTCGTCTGCGCTGTCATCCAGGCAGCCT